AACAATATAAAGAAGAAAATTGCCACCTATATTGTAGAATGTTTTACTTGCCAGCAAGTAAAGGCTAAGCACCAAAGACCAGCTGGATTAGTCCATAACTTGGACATACCAATGTGGAAATGGGAAAATATCACCATGGATTTCGTCACTGGCCTTCCAAAATCCTTGAGAAAGAATGATGCAATATGGGTAATTGTTGACCGGTTGACAAAGTCAGCACACTTTTTACCTATCAATATAAAATTTTCATTAGAAAAGCTGACTAAGATGTACATTAATGAGATAGTAAGGTTACATGGTGTACCAATATCAATAGTTTCTGACCGAGACCCTCGGTTCACATCAGAATACTGGAAAAGTGTGCATAGAGCTCTGCAGACTAAACTAAATTTCAGCTCACCTTATCATCCACAGACAGATGACCAATCAGAATGGACAATTCAAACACTAGAAGATATGTTGAGATGTGTTCTGGATATGAAAGGATCGTGGGAAGATTATCTACCTTTGGCCGAGTTTGCATATAATAATAGCTACCAAGCTAGCATTCAGATGACACCATATGAACTTCTTTATGGAAGGAAGTGTAGGTCTCCTATTCATTGGGATGATGTTGGAGAAAGGAAACTTCTTGGACCAGAATTGGTACAACAAGCAATTGATAAAATTTAATTAGTTCGATAACGTCTTCGCACAGCACAAAGTCGTCAGAAGAGTTATGCTGATCGAAGAAGAAGAGAATTGGAATTTCAAGTAGGCGATCATGTTTTCTTAAAGGTTTCGCCTACCCGAGGAGTGAAAAGATTTGGAATCCAAGGGAAGTTAAGCCCGAGATTCATTGGTCCTTTTGAAATTCTAGAGCGTATTGGTCCAGTGGCGTACAGATTAGCATTACCACCAGCCCTGTCTGGAATACACGATGTATTTCACATATCGATGCTTCGGAAGTTCATCCGAGATCCAAATGAGATCGTTGAGTTGTCTCCAGTGGAGCTTAAGCCAGATTTGACCTATGAGGAAAGACCAGAACGTATGGTGGATTTATAGAACAAGTACTTAGACACCGAATAATCAAATATGTGAAAGTTCAGTGGAAGAATCACTTTGAAAGAGAAGCTACTTGGGAAACTGAAGATTCTATGCGAGAGAGATATCCAGAGCTCTTCGAGATATAGGTATGTTAAGTTTCGAGGACGAAACTTTTTATTAGGAGGGAAGAGTGTAGTAACCCAGATATTTAGTGCCTTAAAAAACTTGATTAATGGAGATTTTTTTAATTACAGATTAGGGAATTAATTAAGGGTATTTTCGGGATTTTACCCTAACCCCTGATTAATTGCCACGTTAATGATTTTGTGGCTAAAGTTCATTCGACAGTTTGGCTGGCACCTCTTTAACGGAAGTATAAAACAGGAAAAATCAAAGAAAATTTCAGAAAAAAAGAAGAAGAAGAAGAGGAAGAAGACAGTGAACAAGAAAACAAAGGATTTCATCTAATATTCAAGTAACCCAAAGGTATAAACCCTTTTCTATGTTAATTTCTTGATTTAGAAGAGAATTGTTATAGAAATCTTAGTAAATCGAATCAAATTAGAATGAGTGAGGGAGTTAAATTGTTATGAATGTGAAATAAAGAATCTAGGGTTTGCAAATTTCTGTATTAGAATGAGTGAGGGAGTTAAATTGTTATGAATGTGAAATAAAGAATCTAGGGTTTGCAAATTTCTGTAATTAGGAGGCATGAAATAAACTGAAAAAAAACTAACCTTGTTTTTTTTAGGGGGGGGAGGGGGTTCCCGCCGTCGGCCTCTCCTTGTCGTCGATGGCTCCTCGTCGCCGTCCTACCTCCATGGCGGGGGGAGAGAGAGAGAGAGAGGAGAGGAGAAGAAAACCAAAAAGGGAAAAAAAAGAAAGAGAGAGAGAGAGCAGAGGAAGAAGGAAGGAGGAACCGAAAAAAAAAGAGAACGAAAGAAGAAGAAACGAAGAAGGGAGGAAGATGATCAGGTGTTTTTAATATAAAGGGAGGAAAAATTTGCTTTAAGCCCCTAAATCATGAAAAAAATTTCTAACAGACCTTAGTAACTGAGTTATGGTTGAAATTGGCTAGAAAATATCTGTTAAACCCCTGTTATTTACTCAATTTGTAAATAAGTCCAGTCTTAGGAATAAACAATAATTTTTAGACTTGATAAATTCCCTATAACCCCCTGTCTTATTGTAAATTATTAGAAAGTCCAGAAGCTAGTATATGAGAGTTATAAAATTTTGCTAAATTGCTAAAGTTAATAACAAGCTCATATGTATTGTAGAATTTAATTATTATTGATTATATTTGAGTTTATTAGACTCTAGATTATGAATTGATTTACCTATAATATATGTTTGTTCTGAATTAATAATTAGTCATATATCTTACATTATAGGTTCTGGTTGATATTCAGGAGACTAATATTTTGAGAAAGTCGTGACCACTAGAGGTGAGTTCATTTCTCACTAGTATTTTATAATATGAAATTTACATGAGTTTTATATTTGATTTGTCTTGTGATGAAATAAATAAGTAAATAATATGTCTTTTCATGTATATTAAAGATTTGACCTGTGTCTATTGTGGTCTATCCTATAATATGATGTTAGCCTTGTACGATATATGAAAAGCAAATTTGATTTCTATATAAAATATGAAAAAATAAATTTGGCTCTCATGCAATTTTCAAATAATTGTGGACTTGTTATATCTGAAAGTTTTTGATGAAATATTTGGAACGTATTTCAACAGGTTAACGGATTCAAAGATTTTTCGTGGTTTAGTATTATTTGGAACGTATTTCAACAGGTTAACGGATTCAAAGATTTTTCGTGGTTTAGTATCTGATAAAAGAACAAAGTAAATATCCGTAAATTGTTTTAACAGAAATGAGAAGTTTTACCTTGTCAATTTCATTTGAAGTATCTGCAAATTCTGATATGCAAAGTACTTCTCATTTGACATGTGAGCTTGATGTTTTCAAACCCTCAAATAGTCCACTATGGATTTGTTCTGCCTGCCATATGATGAATACACCTTTATTTGGCCTTTCTGTATTGGCCCTTCTGAAATCTGTTCTGGCTTCTCTGTATTTGGCCAGTAGCCTATGGCAGTGTTAGGTGCATTCTGTTCCCGGGAATTATCTGTTATCTGATGCGGTTTACGCATTCCCTTGCTACTGGGCTAAAATTTGTAGCCTTAGTGTGACCTATGGGGTGACTTTTACATTCATGAATTACTCATCGAGAAATAAGATTTTGATAATTGACTGTGAAATTAAGATAACAGAAATTCTCGGAATTTGTACAAATTAGTAGTTCTTTTCCTTCTTAATGTTTACCTTGATTCAAAAAAGGTTTGATTCCAAGAATTTGTACAAATTAGTAGTTCTTTTCCTTCTTAATGTTTACCTTGATTCAAAAAAGGTTTGATTCCAAGAAATTTCACAGTTTATTCAGTTGCATCCTTCTTAATGTTTACCTTGATTCAAAAAAGGTTTGATTCCAAGAAATTTCACAGTTTATTCAGTTGCACATGAGAAAGGAAATACAATTATTGTATTCTTTCTTAAAAATGATAATATTACGATATTTGGATCGTATTTTACTATCCTTGAACTTCTCATACAAAATTTAAAATTCGTTATTTCTGAGAATTATTCTTATTACTATTTTGTTAGTTATTTAGGAACTCTAGTGGGAAATGTTCTCACTGAGCGCTAGCTCACCCCGTTGTTTTTAAATATATTTTTTCAGATCCGGCGTAGCCTCCTATTAGCCGACTTTTGATTTGAGCTTTTGGCTGAGAGACGTTATATGGAGAGCCTCTTCTTGTTGATGTTACCTTCAGCACATTTTGTTTTGTTTTGTAAAAATGCTTATAACGGTGAGCTTGTGGGCTGTAAGTACCGATCATATATATATATATATGTAGTTGCTCTGATTTCTATCATCAGCAGGTTTATGAATATTTGAAAATAAACTATGTGATATGAATTGCCAGGCTTGACTCGTGCATAAGACTTGTCTCGTGCACGGGTCGCTGCTGTCGCGTACCCCGTATTTTATGAATTTCCGCCGCAGATTCGGGGCGTGATAAAAAGTGGGTGTAGAAAGTGGAAGATTAGAGAGGAGGAATAAAATATTATCTTTCCGTCCTCTCAATTCACTTCCCATCCACTTTCTCACTTAGAAGTTTTTGAGAAAGTGAAAGGGTTAAAAGTTAATGTGGCATCCTCCACTGTCAATTTACTTTTCTAGTCTTTCCAATTGCCAAACAAGAAAATATAGAAAGTGAGCCACTTTCCATTTTTTGACCATTTACTCTCCGGTTGACAAACACTCAGTGCATATTATCTGACTCTGCAAAATGGATTTACGATTTTTGTTTAGTGCATATTATCTGACTTTGCAAAATCGATGTAAGATTGTTGTTGTTTTTATGATGTTTTTCTAGCTTCATGGCTTTAGATTATGCAGTAGTCATTTGGACACACGCTACTTTGTCGATGGTCCAATATGTAATATTGACATCAAGAATTGTTTTGGTTCTTAACTGCTATATTGACATCAAGAAATGTTTTGATTCTTAACAGCATCACATTTCCATCTTGAAAGGAATTGGTTATCGGATTTCATCATGCAAGAGACCTTTCTTGAAATATATCACTTCTATCATTATTCATTGTACTATTTGGCAATTGATATGTTAGTAAGGATATGACTCTTCTACAAATTGGCAGTTAAAATATATCACTTTCCCCCCATCTTTCTATCATTATTCATTGTACTATTTGTCGAACTGTTAGTAACATTTCTGGAGCTGTTCTTCATTTTTAGGCACATGACATGCACTTTTTCACACCGCTCCACTTATTTGTTCGGTATTTACTTACTGAATCGTAGACCTCTTGATACCTCTGCACTTCCACCGTGTTATATTCACTAGCATAAATGTAATGTACATCTTGCAGGGTCTGTCCTTGAGAAGAACAGAGGTAAATAGGAAGTCATCTTGGCGGAAAAAGCGATCTTTTAAGAGGCGACAAAGTCAGACTGAACGGAATCAGGCTGAATGGAAAAACCAGATTAGGAGAGAGAAGCAAGAGCTTTTCTTTAAGGGTATGTTTTGCGTTTGCATTTACTATGAATTTGCTGCAAGCAATGATTTAGATCATAATTTCTTCATGAGTTGAAATTTAGTTACGTTTTTCTTGTTGCCGATCCCCCAAAAGTTTGCGATTGGGCTTTGTTGTTGTTGTGCTGTTGGTTTTCATTAGCTGTACAAAAATATCAAATCTCCATGCCGTGTGATTCTTTTGAGGCTGGCCTTTAAAGCAGATTGTACCTGAGCTCAACATTTGCCTCTTGAACCGTAATGCTCCTTGAGTTGATAATTTAATTGTTTAACACTATCATTTACAAATCAAATTGTCACATACACACACTCACAATACGCAAATAGTTGGAATCCTTTTCGATAATGCAAACACATATTCATTCTTTGAAGTATTTCTTTTGTATGGTTTAATTTGTGTTCATATATTGAACCTATGATGCACACGTATAAGACTTTTAATTAAAGAGATTCCAAAAGAGATTAAAGAAAACATGGCACACAATAATATTATGTAACTTGACAGATATAGCATAAAGGTTTTTGTGTTGACATAAAGTGAATTTTCTTGATTTTTACCAGAAATTATAGTTCTTCAAATTTATGTTTTGCTTTTGACCATCTCATGATACCATCCTTCTTCTCGAGGCCAACTAGTGGAGATTATATGTGGTAGCAGATTATGTTGTAGATCTTGCAAGCCAGACACGATTAAATTATCTATGGCTGGCAAATATACAGTTTTTGTGCTCTTTGGGACTGCAAAACAAGTGGCCTGAATTGTCAAAGATGATGCAAGCCTGATGCATAGTGTATAGTAATTGTGGACTTTGGGCCACAAGAAAGATCTTGTTCATATTAATTTAGGAACTGGCTGTATTCTAACCCAATAAAAGGGAATTAATCTTTTCTGTTTGAAACACACTCTCTTGCTAAAGAGTTAATGGTCAACAACGTGTCAATGTTAAATGCATTGTGCTTTATATGCAAATCGTAAAATATAATTGGATTTTGCAGCAGAAAAATGATGTAAAATACGACGTAAACAGCCTAGAAGTTATAATGTTTTGAACTGCTAGGCAATGCATATGGCCTACCTGGATCTATCTAGATCTCCCTAAATGGTCGCATAACAGAAGCACATTGGCGGTTAAAACACTTAGCCAGCTGCTTGATCTTGGGGACTTTGTAGGGCCAAAGTGCAGAAGTGCTCGATCCTTGACAGGCTCTTGAAGCTGTTTGAATGTATTTGTTATGTCTAGTCAACTGCACAAACTTTGATGCTCCTGCGCGATAAACTCTACGCAGTTCGCTGAAAAATTAAGTCATAAAATGTCTAACCAAAAGATGAGAACCTGATTTTTATACTCATTAGCTCTATGTTTTGCTCTTTTGTTTTTTTCATATTAACTTGGATAGGCCTACTCATTCCGTTGTTGATGTGTGGCTGGAATTGATTGCTTAAACAATAATTTCCAGTTTTACATTTGGAGGGAGACTATCTGCTTGGTTGACTGTTTTGTCTTATAAATTCTTCAGCTATGAGATATAATCTTGAGGACGGTTAGCAAAAGGGGAAAAAACTATTTGTGAAACAGGAACATGCTTTTGAGGAATTGTAAAAATATTTATGAAAAATTCATCAAAACATTTTTGCTTATGTATTCTTACTGTTCCTTTACATTTCAGATTTCAGAGTAAGTTGTAGGAAAAGAATCCAGAAGAGGAAAAAGAGAATTTTTTTTAGAATGATGTCTTTTGGAGGTGAATTTTCATTTCCGAAATATATTAATCTCAAAATAATTTTAATCTAGAGTGATAAGTAAAAATTTCCATTGATTGTTTTTTGTATTTGTTTTCTCGTATTGCATTAACACACTGTAACTTATGACCAAATTAATACTCCGAATGCTTTCCTGAGTTTCCTCTAGTAGCCATATAACCATTGCATGCCAGCTTTGCATAAGTTGCTTTATCAGTGTCAGTAGGTATTTCATAGCTCTTCAAATTTTGGTTTTGGCACAATTTTCATGTTTGTCAAGATAGTTCATGGGTCCTCTCTTCTTATCAATGAATGACATAATTCTTTATTTCTCTGCTCAATGGATGACATAAATATTTATGTTCTATATGATCTTATTCTGTAACAAATCTTTGACTATCTGATCTTCTGCTTTAGATTTTGCACACCTATCTTCCTAGTCTGCAAAAAATAAAATTCTGATAATTGTTTCCCTGATGCAGCTTATCGAGAGGCAATTCGAAGAGCCCGTGAGTCAAAAGGTGCTGTCAGCAGAGCTGCTGAGAATGCGACACAACTTCGTAGCAAAGCTCAGGTGCTGATGTCAAATGCAGATTTGGCTGCATATAAGGCTTCCATGGCCTTTAGAATCTCTGAGACTATCAGTACATCTTCGTCTTTGTTGTCATCAGAATCTCCTAATCTGAATTCGTACATTCTCATCGACTGACATGGCGGAGGCAGACAGTTTTTTGTTGTACAGGGTCTCATGGGAAAGAACTGGAATTACATTTTATTTGATGAGAATACAAGAGGAAAATAGTGGGCTAAGCTTTTACATGTATGTATCCTGAGGTGGTGACTCCAGGCGGGCAGAAGTTCAGCTGTTTCTAAGGCTGGCATGGGGCTGTTTCTTATTAAAAGCCAATTTTGTGATGAATTTCTGAAATTATAAAGATAAGAAAAATTTTATTTTTGTACAGAAAGTAGGTGTTGGTAGATCTCTTTTGTGTTTTTTATTGTTATCCTATCATTTTTGTACATAGATTTTTCTTATGATTCTCTGCTTACAAAAACAGGATTGCTGGAAGAAGAGCGGAAAGAAGCAAATATAGAAAAGAGTTGTGTTTAGAAGTATTTAGATATTCATATTTAAGGATATATATTATTTGAGCATCTGTAGTTGCCTCACGGGCGCCAGAATGCATCCAAAGCTAATCAAGGGCCGTCTCTTTTGGATACTACTAATTCAATGGAACACTTTGATTAAAATACGAAACGCAATCAAATCAACCTTGTAAATGTCATCTAATCTATTTAATATAACTAGGTTTTATGTACGTGCGAAGTACATGGTTAAATACAATTATTAAGTATTTTTAATTTATTTCTTACTGAAATTTGTTTCTCGGTTTCGTTTTGATAATTTTACTTATGTCTCTAAACTTTAGCATTGTGATTATTTAATTTCTTTGATGTTTGTTTGAATTGGCTATACCGAATTTAAATTTTTATGTTGAGAATTGAATTAACAAGAAACAAAAGTAATCCAAAGTCAAATTGAAATTTCATGTTATTTGGACTGATATGAAACCAAGCTTGACTTGAGAGAATATAATGTTGCTAAAGTGAATAACACTTGAAAAAAATAGCATTATGAAAAGAAGACAAATGATTAAAACTAATAGGCCAAGATGATTGGTTAAAAGTAGGCTAGGATGAAACTAAGTTTGTTCCTAATATTGATATACTTCATTAAAAAATTATAAACGAAAGATTAATGTTAACTCCGATACACTTTTATATGATAACAACCTCCACATAAGCATGTAAAAGTATTAAAAAAGTTCATGAAAATCCATTCTAAAAATTTCTAATTTTATTCAAAAATTAAACTATTCTATAAAATATTTAAAAAATTGATCTTTTATTCCTTCTATTTTAATTTTTATTGAGTGGAGATTAATCCTTCTCCACCTATATTTTTTTCCTAGATAATTGTAGAGTAGTGTCTTCATCATCTATATATATTCTAAAATCAGGCTGGAGCTGGATTTCCATGTGTTGTTATCTTTTCCTTGTCTCGTCCATCTTTAATTTGTCTTCTTGTCTTACTTCACAACTTCACAAAGAAGTTGATGCTAGAAATACGAACATTGCATTATTTTCTATTCAATAGATATATAATATATATATATTATATTCTCACTAGTAAGTATATATATATAGATCTATATTGTATAGTAATAATATTTATTATTATTATATATATAATCTATATAATATGTATATATATATATATATAATATATATATGAATTTTTTGTTTTTCTAACTTATTACTTAAATAATATTAGAAGTTACCTTTTTTTTACAATGGATTCGTCCGTTATGTGTCTAATAAGAGGATCTACTGCATTAAAAATGTTATATTTGTTCTGTCTGTGTCATTTTCCATGATGATCTGAACTAAATAGCTATATTTTTCATTATCAATTTGCCTTAGATTCTAATGTTAGTATTATGTTTATTTCATGAAGAAGGGATATTACTTAACATTGGTACTTAGTCATCGGTAATTCTGTGACATTTATTATTTGGACACTCTTATTAGCATTTTTCTCCACCTTCTTGTTGTAGCCCTTGCAAGCATGGACCTATGGCTAAACTCTATTGTAAAAGGTAGGTATATTTGCATTATAGGTGTCAATAGTTTGTCTGTTTATTCGTAAAATATTTTTAGGTTTAATTGTATACACTTAAGAGTAGGTCATGTAAGATCATATCTCTTTCGAATGTTGTGATGATTGCATATATCAATAATTTGAATGTGTCGCGTAAAAGAGCTTTGATGGAGATGCTTTTTGTCGTGACAGCTTGCTTTGAAAGAACCCTGCATATTAGCTTTAAAATATAATTTTTTATTATTATGTTATATGGATGTTTGGTTGGTTTACTTATCATTATTTTATTATACCTTTGGGTTGATATATATTGTTGACGCAATTCACGATAATATATATATATATATCTTCACTATAAATTTGAGGCAGATATAAGATGAGTTTTATGTTAATGACATTTAATAAGAATTTTAGTAATGAAATATGCTATGTTCATCTTTAAAGACCTTTAAAATATAATAGTGTTATTACATGCTTATCTTCGATCTGTTGGATAGCAGGTTCCTAATATGTTTCCTAATTTGTTTTGGTAACAGGTTATTAGGATCCCTAATCTGTTTTGTTTTTTGTTTTAGAATTCCTAGTGTGTTTATGATTTTAGGATTTCTATATATATGGAACAATTGGAAGAGAGAATTGAGAAGAAAATTGGAGATTTCTATATATATGGAACAATTGGAAGAGAGAATTGAGAAGAAAATTGGAGATATTTGGAGCACAGAAAAGAGGTATTTTCTGAGCTATTGGTTAGGGTTTTGTTTGGAGAGAATTAGAGATTTGTTGGTGAGATTAATTAGTGAGTTTGAGTAATTTATAATCTCATTTTGTACACTTCTTCTCTATTAGTAAAAAACTCTATCCCCTTCTTGCCCAGTGGAAGTAGGTAACTTGCCGAACCATGTTAAAATTGGTTGTTTGTGTTTGTGGCATTGATTTGGTTCGTTTGGCCTTCTCTCGATGTTCGTTTGATTTGATTTCTCGTAGCACGTTGGTTTGGTTGTTTGGCTTCCGCAATGCTCAACAAGTGGTATCAGAGCTCGGGCTACGCTTGAGCTATTTAGAGGACTAGGTCGTTTTTGGAGGCTCGCCTAGGGCTTTGTTTGGTGATAAAAGTAAGATCTTTTTGATAAAGACTCTTATATTTTTTAGTTTTGGATCTATTCTTCATTTGTTCCGCATTTGTTTTGGTGCTTTGAGAAAGATGGTCGGGAAAGAATGAGTTATGGAGGGTACTTCCGGTGTGAAGACCGTTCAAACTTTGAATATCCACTCTATGAAGATAGATGTGGAAAAGTTTAATGGCATAAACAATTTTAGTTTTTGGAGATGTGAAGTCTTGGATGCGCTCAATGCGTAAAATTTGGAAGATACTTTGGAGTTGGACGGGAAACCAGACGACATTGAGGAGAAGGTTTGGAAAAAGATGAATAGAACGGCGTATGGTGTGATTAGATCTTGTTTGACTCAAGATTTAAAATATGATGTGATCAATGAGACTTCGACTAAGAAGATTTGGGAGAACCTAGAGGACAAGTATTTAACCAAGAGTGTAGAGAACCGCTTGCATTTGAAGAGGGGGCTTTATCGTTTCCAATTGAAGAAGGGGACCTCTATTGGTGATCACATAAACCACTACACGAAGCTTCTTACGGATTTGGTGAATGTAGATGTGATGATTAAAGATGAGGACAATACGTTGTTGTTGTTGAGTTCCTAGCCTGACGAGGAATATAAAACCTTCGTTCTTACTCTTATTAATGGGAAGACATCTCTTTCTTATAGTGAGGTCACCGCTGTACTTGTGAATTTCTTACTCTTATTAATGGGAAGACATCTCTTTCTTATAGTGAGGTCACCGCTGTACTTGTGAATTATCAACTTCGAAAGAAGGATAAGGAGACTTCAGTTGAGCCGGTAGCGGGGGCATTGGTCACAAGAGCAAAGAGTCCAAACCGTGGTAGGAGGTTACAATATAGAGGGGCACATCTTAGAGTTCGTAGGAATCAGTGTGTCTTTTGTAAAGAGGATGGACATTGGAAAGCCGAATGCCTAAAGTTGGTTGATCGAGCTGGGAAGAATAAGGGGAAAGCTATTCAAGCTTCAGATGTAAATGTTGTCAAGGCTAGTGACAATAATTCAGATTCAGATTCTTTGGGCTACTCGTTATCTGCACTACCGTCAGTTTGTGTTGCTGAATCTACAGAGTGGATGTTGGATTCAGGTGCTTCTTATCATATTTGCCCTAGGAGGGATTGGTTCTCTAGCTTTCAGGAGTTGGAAAGAGGGGAGGTCGTGCTCATGGGTAATGATCATGAATGTCTTATTAGTGGTATCAGTACCATTCATATTAGGATGAGTAACGAAGTGATTCAGGAGTTGGTTGGAGTGATGTTTGTTCCTCAGTTGAAGAAGAACATCATTTCACTTGGAGTTTTGGAGGCAACAGACTATAGGATGACATTGGTCGATTTACGTTTGAAGATCATATTGGGGTCCAGGATTGTGATGAAGGATGTCAGAAGGAATAATTTGTATTATTTGATTGGGAGCACCGTGTTTGATAGAGAGCTAATGAATTCTTTGGATTTGGCTAGACTGTGGTATTTGTTGAGGTTGGGTTATTTAATTGGTTATGCCGTGCATGGTTTATTGAGGAGTGCTTTGACCTGCAAATTAAAGTCCTTTGAGCACATTGGTATGAGCAAGAAGACCAAGGTGGAGTTTGGTACTTCTATCCATCGATCGAAGGGTCTTTTAGGTGGTGTTCAGTCAGACATTTGGGGGCCTTCTAAGGAGGTATCATTAGGAGGTAATCGATATTTGGTTTCCGCATTTGGGGATTATTCTAGGCATTGGTGGGTTACAATCAGGTCCCGTTGGTGTGAAGTCCTAGAAGTCAATAACAATTGGAAGAAGTGTATTGGCAGAAAGGTAACCCCTCGTTCTAGCTTTGGTAGGGGTTCTTTCTTGTATTTGTACTGAGTTCATGGCAGTTTGAGACACTTCATTGATGTGGAGACATTAGGGTAACGAGATGAGATGAAAGCTTTGATGGGTCGTTCCTTACTGGAGGGGGATTGACGTTGGTTGTCGGGTATTGGTTTTGGTTTTGGAGCTTCGACATATTTGGGTCATCTTGGTCATAGGTTGCCGACTGATGCGTGTGGAGATTTTGGATCTGGTAGAACGCTTCAGATTTTGGGTTGCGTCGGATACTTGGTTGCCCAGTATTTGGTCACATCGAGGATGTGAGATTTGATCCGATTTCACGTTTAGGATTCAGAGGTTCGTTTGATTATCAATTAGGAGCTTCTGATTTTGTTCTGAGCAGGTATGTCACATTTGACTCTCGGCAAGTGGAGAGTATTGATCAGATCATTGGGATATCACAGCGGGTGGGGGTGATGCTACTTCACATT